GTCTCACGACTTGGAATGTAGATGGCACACCTTGGACATTCGCAGAGTCTTATGTCACTACATTATTCGAACCGCGTTCTTTCGCAAGTCGGAAGCCCTCTTCGTTTCATTCCAGCCCTCTTCAATGGGGCAGAAAGTGTCTGCCTCCACTATCAGCAGATAGATTAGGGCTTGCATAGCAGGGGCATACCAGTTGCATTCTCTGCCGGTTCCAAGTTGTATCACTGCACACTCTACTCGCAGTGCTGCAACCTCAGCGGCGTGGGCAACACAGGCGTCAATTGAGGACATATGTAAGGCAGCGACGTGGTTCTCACCTCCTTTCGTGAGGCATTACAAACTAGATAAATTCGCCTCTGCGGACACATCATTTGGCAGGAAAGTGCTACAGCAAGCAGTACCATCCTATTTACACCTTTTAATCATTTTAGATTGCTCTTCCTTCCAGCTTCATGATTTATTTTTTGCTGTCAGTTGATTTATGAGGAAAAACCCATAGCCATAACATATGTATTAATGTTGACCTCCAACATGTCTCTAGTAACATTAAATCTTTACAGTACTGTAATTTGTTTACATCCTTTTCAGTGTTGACTGTGCTTCCATGGCTAGTGATAGTGTGGTGCTGAAGGTTGCTGGAAAGGGTGACTTGTGTCAACTGGCAGCTAACTCTTTTGAACCTGAATGCTGGAAGGGGTTGGATTACACTATATAAAACAAAGGCTCAGAAGTACAGCACCAAACTTTGGTCACCGTTATCATGGCTGCATCAAGATTTTCAAGAAAATGCCAGGAATTTCAAGTTTGCTTTTTGCATTAAAAATAACACAGCTCAAAAGGGTGATATTCTTTCTAAGGAATTTAACATCACCTTGGCTTCTGAGAGCAAGATCAAATAGAAAGAGCATTGAATATCCAATTTTGAATATCCAAAAAGTTTAATCCAGGAATATCCCACGGTGCAACTTGCTATGTGCTTCACATGATTTTGATAGAAATGCAGACATTTAAGATTTTGTAGCTCACTAGCTTTTTTGTTTGTTTGTGTGCTTTCAGGATTTGATGTTTGCATGAAAAAGGTAACTAAATGTTGTGCTGTTCTATAATACCACAGTATTATTCGTGCCCATGACAAATGACAGAATAGTTGAAATAAATAGATTTGCAATCTACATTTTTTGTAACAGAGACTATAATATATAACAGAGAGAGAAAAGGGAGAACATTAACAAGATATTGCTTAAGAGAAAAAAGTTCAAAGGGATTAAGGCTACTATCTTAAATTCTGTTGCAGAATTAACCATATTGAAAGCTCTGTCTTCTGACAGCGATCTCTTCTGAGTAAAATCTTCCAAGAAAAGGAAGTCTTGAGTGGGAGAGGTACATATAGTTTAATTAAACATTGTTGGTTTATAAGAAAGATTCACTTTACATTGCAGAGTGGTGAATGGAAATTCTTTTTGTCATTAGCTAGACAAATGGGAACTACCTTGAATGTTTGTCTGGGCATCACTTGCTTTAGGCTTGTACAACAGCTTCTGAGATACCGGGTGTAGAGTGTGTGTATATATGTGCATTTTTGCAAAAAAAGGGTAATTTTATTGTATAGTTTGTACTGTATTTTTTTTATTATTATAAAATTTTTATTAATTTTTGTAATTGAACAGCAAATACCAATATGATGCATCTACATACACAAGCAAAAAAAAATAATCCTACTCAATACATTTTCGGAGACGCTCGGCAGTCCCCGCCTTGCCTCCACCCTCATTCACTTTCCTCTCCTTCCTCCCCCTAAACCCACAACCTCTCCTCCTTCCTCCTTACCACCTCCCTACATCCCATCTCCCTTCTTAACCACCTCATCGAGTGCAGTTTGGGGTACCAGCCGAGCATCTCCTCTTTTCAATACAATTCCATTATTTACCTATAATATTTAAATACATTAACTTTTATAATTTCCCCCTAATCCCCTTCCCCCCTCCCCCCCGGACTTCCCAGAACTGAGTACAGGAATAATCACATAATCCAAATTTAACCCAAACAACCCATTCATAATACAAACAAGTATAAACTTACTGTAACTCTAATATACAATCAACTTAACTGTAAACTATAAATATAAATTATATATAAAAATATTTATAAGTAACAATAATTAATCAAAAGCTATATGATAATTATTCATTTCATATTTTCTCTGAATATAATCTATCCATCTTCTCCATACCAAAATAAATTTCTCTTGATACTGTGATCCTTCAGGTATGCGGATATTTTTGCCATTTCTGCAAAATATGAGACTTTCTGTCTCCAATCATCCATAGTCGGTAATATCTCCTTTCCCAGCACTCCAGTCCTTGTTCTATGCTGTTATCCATATCACATTGTGTTGCAAATATTTGAGAGATCATATTTTTGAAACTATATTTGTTTCTTCTGTAACCGCAGAGTACTGTATGTCTTTTCAACTGCAAATGTTTATGCAATTTTCAGTGTAGAAATAAGTACTGTTGACTATTGCTGCTATTTTTTATAATAGCTGAAGAAAACATCAACTAGTACTTCATCAGGTTCACCTAATATACATTGATTCCCATAAATTCTCTACAGGAATCAGGAATATGTGTGAAACAAAAAAAAAAGAGACATCTCCATGAATAGAAAAATTATATTTCATGTCTGTTACAGCAATGGTCATTTTGGACTTGATTTAAAATATAATCTTAACATAATCCTAATTCTGTCCTTTTACAGAACTGTTCATCTTGATGCTTATGGAGAATTTTTGCTTGAGGCCTATCTCTGAATCTTCCAAACGCTTACCTTAACAAGGAAGAGGATTGGTGATTCTTCACAGATCCTGGGATTTAGCAGCTGGCTTCCGGAAATAACATCCTATATAACAATGATTGTTGTACGGTTCCATTTTCTACCTTTTATCTGGCTTCAGCTTGTCTAGTTCAGGGGTCCCCAACCCCCCAACCAGTACTAGGCCACAGCATGCCAGCAACCGATCCGCACAAACAAGCAAAGGCCCATCTGTGAGATGCAGGCAGCACACAAAACCATGCACTCTCCGGTCCGTGGAAAAACCTTTTTCCATGGAACTGGTCCCTGGTGCCCAAAAGGTTGGGGACCTCTGGTCTAGTTCTCAAATTAGGGTTCAGAAACTTTTTAGAATAAGAGCATATTTGAAAATTTGAAAACATGTCATGGGCAGACTTACTATGTGCCATATTGGGGGGTTACCTATTCCAAAAAGACTTTTATGTGTTTTGGAAAATATTTTTACCCAAAGGTACTGTGGTGAGATGACTTTGCAGCATTTTCAATAATCTTTTGCCTATCGGACCTAGAGGCATTCTCATAAATAAATATAATCCCAGCTACTCTTTTTTAATTACATGAGTTTGAAAAAAATGCAAAAATCCAGCTGGAGCAGTGAATCTTATAGGTATCAAGGGAGATATTCATAAGCACTGTGTTGCCTAATTCTGTAATAAATCTGTACTCTTTTTAAAAACTATTAAAATAAATTGTTCAGTCACTTGCTCCTGTTGTTAGAAGGATTGTAATTATTCTGTAATTTCGAGTGGGACTGAAGAATTGGAGAAAAATGTGAAACTGAGAATGTCAGATTTAGGAACAAGTGGAGATCAGGCTGTCCTTATACTTATTTCTATTCCACAGTTGACATATACTATACTGTTGATCATGGAGTAACAAGTATGTCACCATTGTGCTCACAAATACCTTTCTTGGCAACCTCTAGAGTTTTTATCCTATTTTACATTTTTCTAAAGAGGAACACTTAAAAAGTATAATTCTGAGGGTCCGCATCATCTTTATTTCAAACATGCTATGCCCTAGAAGCTTAGAAAATAAAAATGGTGGATCATTTGAGCACAGTACTGCGCTCAGAAGTATACCATTTGCCTGGGAAAGCTCCGAGTAAGCTGCGGGGTGTGTGTGTGTGATAGTGTCCTGTAGATTTGGAAGGCTGTGTCAGATAAATTGGTACTTTGAGACTTGTTAGTCCCTAACTGCTGTTATTTTGATATTGTGTGGGTCTCCATGGAAAGCATTTTGCTCATGACACACTCTTAAAATTCTAAATGTACCCTTAAAAGATGGAGACTGTGATTTAGGTAATTCTGATACATAGTGCCTAGAAAACAAAAGGTTAAAAACATGTTTAAGTAATATTTAATTATTAAAGGTAATACAAATCAACTGTTTCATACCTATAATATTTATATGCCGTCTATCTCACTATTAAAGCAACTCACTATGTAAAATAGATAACTGAAATATCTGAAAAGGTATATATTCTTTTGCATCTTCCCACAGAAATCAGGAAGCAAGTTAAACTTCATTTTTTTTCCTTCTTAAGATGTTTATTATCTCTTTTATTTAACTTTTAATACATGTTATGTAAAAATTGTATGGGTCTCACTTAAGTATCAGTAAACAGATCTGAACTTTTTGATGCCTTTATGAATACATTGAAATGCCAGTATGAATATAGGAAACAGCGTAGCAGAATTTAAGGGAGTATGTAAAATAAAGGATAACTGTTATTGATCTTATTTAAGAGGTATGAATTGTGAAAGAAGGGCTTTTGATCCCAACCTTAATTGAGGACAAAGTATGTGTGGTTTGAATTTAAATTTATTTTTATGAGCAAGTAAGTTCCCATGTCCCTCTTTTTATTGCCTTCCTCTCTGTCAAATATTGAGATTTTTGGAAATAATTTAGAATACAACTTGGCAAACAGAAGGAAAAATGTCATAAATGATCTCCTTTATTTTGTATATGAAGACATAATTTTAGGATCCAACTATGTATGTGTGTATATATGTACATTGCTGCCTTAAAGTTGCCAACATAAAATGTTTGATATGTATTTCTGAATAAGGTGATAAGTTTGCCATCTATTTGTATGTAATTTGGGGATGGGTAACAGTCCAACAATTATTTTTTATTTTTAGATCTTCATATGATGATTTTTTTATCATGGCAAATGACACTTTGGAAGGTTTTCATGAAGTGAATCTAGCTTCCCCGACTACTCCAGATCTTTTAGAAGTGCATGAATCTAAAACTTCTGAAGAACCTACCTCACCTACCATAATTTACCGGCTTCATCCCTCAGCTGTATGCGCCTTACCTATTCAACCAAGTGTTCTGAATGTGACTGATCTTCCTACACAACCTGTCTACTCATCTGCTAGGCACCTAAATTGTGCAGAAACACCAGGTATCAGGTTGGTTGTAAAAAAAACTTTTTTAAAAAAAATATGTTTTATTGATTTTTAACATATACCTTAATATTTGGTATACATTGTGTTGTCTGGGTTAATGTTTTAAAAATAATTAATTTCTATAATTCTATAGTCCATATGATAGCTTTACATGATTTCCTCTTCTTCCAATAATATTCTCTTTTGCCAACCTTAAATTAATACAATTCTTATTTAAATAAATGACAATTAAGTATAAACATTTTTCTCATGTTTCTGCAAGTAATAACCACATCAATATAAAGCTTTTCATTGGTCATCTTGATTGCCTCATCATAAGTCCTGTTTACATTCTTATTTAAGTTTGTTTTCCCCACAATATTCAAAACTTCTCTTACTGGTTAAGATTTTCTCAAAATTAGTTACACTTAAATATTTAAGTCTTTTTTCTCATACAAGCCATCACATTTTTACATTTTTCATATCTTAAAAAAATAACAGCAAAAGAAAGAAAGAAAGAAAGAAAAAGACAAAACAGAGAAAACATTTCTTTTATATAAACCATCCCAACATTTTTATATTTTTCATGTCAAAAAACCAAACACAAAAGAATAAAGAAAGAAGGCATATTACATTACTTTAGGGGCTTGTCCCTCTTAAACTAATCTTCATTTATATTTAAAATCTTTCTATTTTGTTAACCATATTCAAACAAATTTTTAATTTTTAAATACTCCTTCTGGTAATTTCCATCATCTAATTTCTTAATTCTCACTTTAGCCTTTTTTTTTTTGTGCCCAACATCTTTCCTGTTCAATATGCTTTGGTGAGTCAGAGAGTCTTCCCATAATCTTATAAATGTTTTTACAAAAGGCCAAACAGGTAAGATGTTTTTATAGGAAGGTTTCGCCCTTTCGTGTTCATTGAAAATCTTTTCCTTTTTGTCTTTCTTGATTTTATTATTTTTTGTCTCTCAAGATCTCACAATTCTCCTGGCAAAATCCATTTTACCAAATTTTTCTTGTCCCCAAACTTATTTTGTAATCTTAAAGTGTAGTTTGTCTTTTCCATATCCAGAGTTTCTTGTAAAAAATTTTTCCATCTGGGTTAAGTCATATTTCCTTGTATTGTTAAATTCCGTCTTGAAATCTCTCTCCTCTGTCTTGTAGTCAATTATCTGATTTTCTTCTCACTCTATTTTTATTTTCTGAGAATTTTTATGTTGTAAAATTAAATTGGAGATGTGTTCATTTATATTTTCAAGGTTATGTTTAATTTCCTCGTGGTTTGAGATTATTGTTGTTTGAATTAATTGCAACATAGCATAGATCTCCTTTTGGAAAGTATTTGTTTTTTCTTGGTATAGTCTCTGGTTTTCCATGATAGCCAAAAATCAAAGTTTTCCTTTCTCTGCAGACAGCTTTAGAGTCACAGTTGAGTTAGTATTTGTAATCCAGAATGGTCAATTCTCTCTCTCTCTTTTTAGAGTTTATAATTCTCACTTTGTAGAAAGCCCAAGATGTTTTCTTTTTTTTTGTCACAGCTGTTCTTTGTTATTAAGACATTGAAGGTCAATTTATCTTTTCCTGGGCCTTGCCAGTCTCTGTAGTAAAGCAGCTGTTGTATATTTTCATCCACCACTAGATGTCAGCACCTGTTCTTCTATTTTCATGATATAAAACAGTGTTTCTCAACCTTGACAATTTTAAGGCATGTGGACTTCAACTCCCAGAATTCCACAGCCAGGAATGGCTGTGGAATTCTGGGAGTTGAAGTCCGCATGCCTTAAAATTGTCAAGGTTGAGAAACACTGATATAAAAGGAAAATCTTAACAGATTCCACCGATTTCAAACTTAGCCAAATTAAATCTTATGGTCTTTTCATTTCAATATATTTTTATTCCCCCTGAAAGGTTTAATTTGCCACTTCTGTCTGTAGGAGGGGAGGGCAAAAGTCCCCCTCCTTCTCACTTTTGGAGTGAGGTTTTTCTTGGGGTTTTTCTTTTTCTTTTTTCCAGGAAATCAATTTCCAAATAGGAAAGAGAAAATCACTGTTCTTAACCAGTTCCAAACACGTTTACAGTCAGCTTGAAGTAGTACTTTTGGACTTCGGTTGCTTGTAACTTGGGCTAGACTTGGAAGTTAAGCTAGCCTTTTCTCCTGCCGGTTTCTGGAGGGCTTTTCCCAAACCGATCGGATCGACTGCCATCTCTCGGCAATCGGCTGGACTTCTCTTCTTCTGTGTTGCCTCTACATGGCAACTTCAGGCCCATTTAGGGTCCCCCGGCAGGCAGAAATCAGCCATAGGGAACGGAGCCCCACGATCCCTTGGCTGCTGCGCTACTGTGCAAAACTGGAAGTCATTAAAAAAACTTTTATTGATAATTACGCAGACTGTGTAATTAATCATTTTGTGTTACCTGTGAATGCCTTCGAATGTTTTTTAAAAAATGCAGTCCATGTGTAATATATTACTTTTTAAAAATACACTCTTTTCTTACAGCATCAACGTCACAGAAACTGTATCATGTTCTACCTCAGGAAGCTATGGTGGGAAGGACAACTGTAGCGCAGAGAGAGAATTTTTGCAGGGTGCAACAGTAACCGACTTTTCTGAAGGAAGAGATGATGTTTTTGGGCTGAGCACAGATAGTCTCTCTCGTCTGCGAAGCCCATCGGTATTGGAAGTTAGAGAGAAAGGCTATGAAAGACTTAAAGAGGAACTTGCTAAAGCTCAAAGGGTAAGAATAATGCATTTAATGCTATTTCTGTGTAAGGGCAGAATATTGGTGCTGAGATAAAACATTCCAAATCCTAGCAATTCTTTTTTTTCTTTATTTTCTACCTTTTCTGCCCCCTGTCTCTTTTCATTGCATACCAACAAAATATTACACTGCACTTTAGATAAGTTCCAAGCTACTTCACTGTTTATTGAAAAGTAATGTTATATTATGGATGTCTGGGGAAGCTATGACGAATTGAAGATGGCCCTGAGGTGAGTAGAGTTGTCAAGTGTGGTGGACTAAGAAGTCAGCAAAAGAGCAGGCTTCTCGTTTTTACACTCTAAACAAAGGGAAGAATCAGGATTGCCCACATGCATTCCAGACATGAAGACAGACAGTAGCTCCCCATGAAGAGAGTGTAAGACAGTAGTCTCTGGTAAGTTTAAAACTCTTGAGAGTGGAGGAAGTCTCCATCTTTGCCTAAGCCATGGCTTTGAGTGTTCAGATGGACACTGGGTTCGCACACTTCCTTTTTTATCACTTTTAATTGCTTATTAACGGCCTTTTGAATATTAAGAAGCTGCAAATTGGCAAGTTGCAGTATATCAGGTAAGTCTTCCTCAGTCCTTAGTAAAACAAGTTTTATGCAAATTTAACGGTTTTAAAAACTGTTTTGGACTAAGCAAAACAGTGATTACAACACTCTCATTTAGTTTAAGAATGTAGTTTAGGAAAAATGTAGTTTAGGGGAAAAAAATGAAGCTTCTGAAATTAAATATAACAAAATTTTCCTATAGGAAAATGTTGTTGACCAGAATACTACATAAGATAGGACCTTGAAGATTAAACACTAGAGGGAACCAGAAAGAATTAAAAGATTATCATTAAAGTTCTAAATTCTTCTGAATAATTTGAATTTAAGGATATTTGGGACTAATATACTCAGAAGTTATTTTTAAGACTTATTAACAAGACCGAGACCGATCTGAATGTGGATTTAAAAATGGCAGATTACAACAATGATACAGATAAAGATTTTACAATGAATATAGATAAAAAAACCAGCTGGTGTCTTAATACTTAAAAGATATACAGAAATAACAAACCAGAAAGTGATTTGTATATCATTTTTAGTTTGGATTTAGAAAAAAAAATGTGTTAATGTCTGAGGAGACAAAGAGAAAATTGAAAGAAATCAAGGAATCTATTCAAAAGAAATAAAGATTAAGACTGTAAAAAGTAAAACAAACATAAAATGGGGTTATCTTATCAAGGTTAAAATGTACGGTTCTGGTAATGCTTAATGGATTTTTGCTGATCAGAACTGAATGATGAGGCTCTAAAACTTTGTTTATAAATAAGACATAAAAGAGATCCTTTGTTGTATTTTTAGGGAATGTGATAAGGTACTGTGTTAAATAAAGGACAGGAATATACAGCTAGTTTATTGTTATTTCTGGTAACTCTTAATGAACCTTTGTTGGCTAGAATTATATGATGAAAATCTATAAATAAAAAATGAGACATGGCATGAAGAATGCATATGTTGCAGCATTAAAGAAAATGATAAGCTACTGAAATTGAAGGGAGAAGTTATTTTTTTATATATCTTTTTTCTTGAATGTGATTTTTTTTCCTTTTTTGCACTTTTTAATTTTATTTTACTGTTACATTTTTTAGTTTGAATTAGTTTTATCTTTGTAATTGTAAACTTTAATAAAAATTACTATTAAAAAAATTACATTGCTTTTAAGACATTTTTCAATACTAAAATACCAACAATAATTAAAAATGGTCAATCTGATAAAACTGCTGTAAGTATTGCACTTTTTTCTGTTATTTAGGCCTGTATTGTGTAAGCATTTTAACATTCAGATGGAATCTGCCTTCTGTAATTCAAATCCATTATTCTGTGTTGTGCCTTATAGAATTAAAAAGAAGAGGTCCTGACTATCTTCTGTACTAAATCATTTTATATATTTTAAGAGCATCATTGTATCCCACCTCACTCATTATTTCTCAAAGATAAAATACCCAGTTCCTTCTATCCTTTCTCCAGCAGGGGGTGGTGTAGAGTCCACAGAATGGGTTAATTTAGCTTTCCTGCTTAGCAGACTAAGACGAAAAAAAGCTTGCCACGCCTCTCTCTGGGTGTGTCTCCCCAGTTTTTGTCTTAGTCTCGAGCTTAGCAGAAGGGGCTCAGGCGGACGACCTTTCAGGCGGTCCAAGTGACGCCAAAGGGGATTACCCCATTGGGGGTCGGCTGGCCCTGTTTTACGATGTCTGGGAGGGCACTACCACGGACGCCTGGGTCAGGGAGACCATAAGACACGGTCTTTCCCTGGAGTTTCAATCTTCTCCCCCAGATCGTTTCATACAGTGTCCAGTTTCAAAAAATCATTCGAAAGCTTCTCTAGTGTCAACAGCAATTGCCCACTTATTAGACATCAGGGCCATAGAAAGGGTTCCTCCAGATCAGATAGGGACCGGATTCTATTCCATACTATTCGTGGTCCCCAAGACCTCGGGGGGATGGAGGGCTATTTTAGATCTGAAGGGTCTCAATCATTTTCTTATTTACAAGAAATTCAAAATGCAGACCCTAAAGTCCATCCTAGCAAGCGTCAGAAAGGGAGACTTCCTTTCCTCCATTGACCTGACGGAGGCCTACCTGCACATTCCGATCCTACTGGAACACCGCAGGTTCCTGAGGTTTGCCTACGCACACAGGCATTACCAGTATCGGGCTCTTCCCTTCGGTCTCTCCTCAGCCCCCCGAGTCTTTACAAAGATCCTGGCCGTACTGGCGGCTCATCTACGGATGAGGCCAGTGCGAGTGCAGTGTTACCTGGACGACATACTCGTGCAGTCCAGGTCTCTCCACTCAGCCAAGTCAGATCTGGAAATCACACTCTGGACTCTTCAGGAACACGGTTTTTCCGTAAATTTCAAAAAGAGTCACACGACCCCCACAAAACGACTTATCCATCTAGGAGCGCTGATAGACTCAGATCTTTGCGAAGTTTATCTCTCCCCGGAGCGTCAGGTCAGCATTCGGACACTGGCATGCCAAGTCCGAAGGGAACAGTGGGTGCCCCTGGTGCGTCTTTCACAACTCCTGGGGAAGATGGTCTCTTGTCTGGGCATTGTTCCATGGGCCAGGCTTCATTCCAGGAGTCTCCAGTGGTTCCTCCTTCCCTATCAGAGACGCAACATCAGTGCATCCAAAGCAAAGGTCAGGGTTCCACACCAAACACGGGTCTCCCTACTTTGGTGGACTTCATCCGCCATTTCCAAAGGTACCTTCTTCAAGGAGCCAACCAGGGTTACCCTGACCACAGACGCCAGTCTGTTCGGCTGGGGGGCGCATATTCACAATCACCTGGCCCAGGGCCGGTGGTCCCAGTCAGAACTGGCCCACAACATCAATTGGCTAGAGCTGAGGGCAATTCACCTGGCCCTTCAGAAGTTCTCTGGTGATGGGGAAACATGTACTGGTCCTGACGGACAACATTACGGCCAAGGCTCACATAAACAAGCAGGGAGGGACCCACTCTTGGTCCCTCATGCAGGAGGCCATGGTGTTGGGACTCTGGGCGGAATCCACCCTGAAATCCATAAGAGCGGAACACATTTCGGGGGAAGACAATCAACAGGCGGACTCCCTGAGCAGGGCCACCATAGATCATTCAGAATGGAAGCTAGATCCAACCTTGTTCAGAGAGGCAGCCCTCAGGTTCGGACAACCAGTCCTAGACCTCTTTGCCTCCCCGACAAATACACAGATTCCCAGGTTTTTTTCCAGGTTCCGATCGGAGGGGGCGGAAGGGATAGATGCCCTTCGGAGCACTTGGCCCAGGGGCGTGCTCTATGCCTTCCCTCCTCTCCCACTGCTCCCAGCGACTATTCGCAAGCTCCTACAAGAGCGAGCGGAGCTAATCTTAATTGCCCCATTCTGGCCACGTCGGCCGTGGTTTGCAGATCTGGTGGATCTATCGCTCTCTCCACCGTGGAGAATCCCTCCGGACCAAATAGCTCTCAGTCAAGGGAATCTCCAACATCCGGACCCTCAGTGGCTCCAACTAGCCGCTTGGCACTTGAGCGGGAGGGTCTAACTAGATTAGCATATTCCTCTGGAGTAATATCTATTATCCAGGCTTCTAGACGCCCCTCAACCAACAGGATTTACGATGCCACTTGGAGAAATTTCTGCTCCTGGTGCAAGACACGGGATCTCTCCCTGCTATCTGTTACTATTCCGCACATATTGGAATATTTACTGGAAGGACTTAATAGGGGTTTGTCAGTTAGCACAATACGTAGACAAGTTGCGGCATTGTCGACTGTTCTCACTTGTGAGAACCATGACTCCCTGTCTCACCATCCAGCGGTCGGTGCCTTCCTAAAGGGCGCTGCAAACACAGGTCCTCCTACGACTCATCGTTACCCGTCCTGGGATTTGCTTTTAGTATTACAGGCGTTAACTTCTTCTCCCTTTGAACCTTTAGGTTCATGTTCTCTGCACTTCCTCACCCTGAAAGTTGCCTTTTTGGTGGCCATTACATCGGCCAGGAGGATTTCAGAGCTAGCCGCTCTATCTGTCAGGAAGGATCTCTGTTTGTTCCACGAGGACAGGGTGGTCCTCCGGTTGGATCCGACATTTATTCCCAAGGTTAACACAGGTTTTCATCGCTCTCAAGAACTGGTTCTCCCGAACTTCTGCCCCAACCCTTCCCATCGTCTGGAGAGAGGGTGGCACACCTTGGACGTGCGCAGGGCTCTGCGTCACTACCTCAAACGTACCTCGGTCTTCCGCAAATTGGAAGCCCTATTCATCTCTTTCCATCCTTCTACTATGGGGAGGAAGGTTTCTTCTTCCACCATCAGACGATGGATAAGGGCCTGTATCACAAGGGCGTATGCTTCACAGTCTCTTCCAGTCCCTTCTCAAGTCACTGCTCATTCTACGCGCAGTGCTGCGGTTTCTGCAGCCTGGTCCACCCAGGCCTCGCTTGAGG